GGTATTCTTCTTCGTATTCTTCTTGGTATTCTTCTTCGTATTCTTCTTGGTATTCTTCTTCGTATTCTTCTTGGTATTCTTCTTCTTCTTCTTCTTCTTGGTGTTCTTCTTCTTCTTCTTCTTGGTGTTCTTCTTCTTCTTCTTCTTGGTATTCTTCTTCTTCTTCTTCTTGGTATTCTTCTTCTTCTTCTTCTTGGTATTCTTCTTCGTATTCTTCTTGGTATTCTTCTTCATTTTCTTCTTCGTATTCTTCTTCATTTTCTTCTTCGTATTCTTCTTGGTATTCTTCTTCGTATTCTTCTTGGTATTCTTCTTCGTATTCTTCTTGGTATTCTTCTTCGTATTCTTCTTGGTATTCTTCTTGGTATTCTTCTTCTTCTTCTTCTTGGTATTCTTCTTGGTATTCTTCTTGGTAGTCTTCTTCGTATTCTTCTTGGTATTGTTCTTGGTATTCTTCTTCTTCTTTTTCTTCTTCTGACCCCCTGACCCCCTGATTCACGCTACAGACGACGTAGCCCTTCTAGCAATATTTTAATCGAAACAACAGGTAGTGTCTTCATCTCAACGAAAGGAGTCTAGTGGCCGCGCTGCAGTGGAAGTAGCTTAGTCCGCGGTGCCTGTGGCAACCATCAGCGCCGAGCCCGTTCCTGCCGTTGATCCTGCCGTGTCAATGCCGCCGCCGTCGCAGTTGGGCGAAGCTGTGACTGCGAGCTCGCTTCAAGGGCGCGCTTCAGGCTTCAACGACTCCGTCCTCACCGGAGCGTCCCGCGAGCGCTACGTCAGTCCAGGCCAGCGCCGCCGATCGCATCATCGATGCGATACGATCCATAAATATACCGGTGAGATCTAACCAGTCTTATTATATTTCTAATTTTGATCCGAGTGTTAGTGACATAGAGACATGGTGTGAAGAAGTAGACCGTGCTAGGTCTTCTAATAATTGGAGTGATCACGAATGTCTTTCTCGCATTGGCAATTGCTTACAAGGAGATGCTAAAACGTGGCTCAGTGAATGGGTAACGAATGACCGCAGTTGGAGTAATTTTAAAAACGAATTTAAGCCTTTATGTCTTTATAAGATTTTTTTTTATAATATTATTATATTTTAAATCTAACCTTATTTGATAAAAATATTGTAGTTTCAGTGTGAATTGTGGGATGAAGTGTATTATGATTTTGAGAGTTAGAAAGCTGATGTTTTCTTGTGAGAAGATTTCCAAGAACCATGTGGTTATTGTGTTTTTTAATACAATAGTACTATATTTTGTATTTTTTGTTGTTTTGACTATTATTCTATTTTACTACATATCAAATAAAGTATCAATGACTACACTTGATATTTTATGTACGTAAATAAATCTTATTCCATATTTACGTTAAAATGTTGCTAAATGTTTTTATATTCGTAATTAGTAAAAGTCAATGAAATGAAAGTTCGCTTTGAAATTGTATAGAAGTTCTTAATAAAATACCAGGTAATGCTTCACAAAACCGAATCAAGCCAAATTTCTATTACATATGTCTTAAACGATAGGGAATATTCTTACACTGGTTTGGAAGTTTTTTTGGGGTCGTAACTTAAGTTGAAAAAAAAGGAAGAAAACTACATAGGGTAAGTTAAGTTTGGAACAATAAAAAAAAGGAACAATAGAAAAGCGCAGGATAAGTAAACCTAGGTTTATAACATGTAATAAAATACCAAAAGCAAACTGGAAAGGTTAGGTTTGGAACATTTTTAATACCATAAAAAACATCGAAAATGCGAAAATATTTTCTATTATAATTCATGTTATTTTATAAAAATTGTGAGTGTCAGCATACCTGTGACAAAACTGAAAACATATGAAACAATTTTATTATCTCACTGAAATAAATTAAGACCCCGAAAAAAAATCTTCATAGTAATATATTCATCTTCAGCAATCTTCATAGCAATAATACTCATGGTGATCATTTCCTAAAGTTTAAAATTGATTTTACGAAAACTTGTACCAAATAAAATTATTATTCAAATGTTAAAAGACTTTGTTTATTGTTGTGTTTGGGTCGGACTTTAAAATGGGACTGTGACTCACTTTCCAATGACAAATTTTACATATTCAGGTACGATCTCCGCTATATAGTAATGCGTTCTTCGAATTTCATGATAACATCCATCCGACATTCTTACTGTAATTACAAATCGCATACAACTGCATAGAAATTCAAAGATATTTGTGAAGTCAACCAACCCTCACTGGCTCTGTGTTGTTGAATAAATCTAGTCGCATTCTTGAGGGTAGGCTCCGAGCTCCTCAGTGGAATATAGTGTGTCCGTGTAGTGAGCTTGATGATGACGACTTGTTTTGCTTCAATGCATATTGTCTTGTTAGCAATTTTCTAAATATTTTACCAACAGATAGGAGCTAATCTCTTTCCAGTGCTATTCTATTTCTCCCGACGAGAGTGGCACTACTACTCCAGTTCTATCAGAAAATATGATCTATCAAATAAACAAACTGGAACAAATAAGCATTTATTATAGTTGGGGTATTTTGTTGGTGAACTAAACAATAATGGTATTATTACGAAAGCAATGAGCATTATGTTACGTTGTTAAAATATGTTCGCTTTAGTCAGAAGATTAAATTAAAGTTGCAATTAACGAAATTGTTTTATTTTTCCAAATTGTTTTCCCTCAAATAATACTTTCAAACGTCAAAAAGGAAACTGACAGATAGATTTTTTTAGGTTGGTAGGAACGTAGACTTGTTCATAATATTGCTAGCATTGAAAATGTCAATTTTTATTCTCCGTTTGTGTATCTAATTAGTCAAGAGGACCCGTCTCTTATTTTATAGACTCTTTGTCAGTGCATTGAAGACCATAGACATAGTCAAAGATTAAAATAGAACTAAAACTAGACAGAAGCCACAGTTCCAATTGAATTCAAGCTGTCATCTGTCACTGTCATTCAAAAGTTAAAATTCATGCCACACCCGTTTGTTTTGCTTTTAACGATTTATTTAGGTTTTCAAAAGCTATAAGTTAAGCTTTAAAATGAATAAAATCTATATATATAGTTTCGGTTTTTTAATAACCTTATCATTTTTTATATTTAAAGGTTGTGCTTACGTTCTTTTGAATGTATATATTACAAAGTGAAACAAAATACGATACTAATAATCTGATTTCTGTTTCAGTGTATGGTCTTGAATGTTATGTATGTGAAAATCAGGAAGATAACAACGAAAAATGTGTTAAAACCATAAAAACTTGTGAATATGATCAAGACGTTTGTCTAACCGAAATTAAATGGGGTAGTACACCTTATTGGTCTCAAGGGGCAAAGAAGCAGTACTATGTGTCGAAACGGTGTTCTAATAGGACAGACTGCGCCACAACCAGGGAACGGTATATGCCAACATGCACACATATTTGGTATCAAGATTGGGTATGTTCAGATTGCTGTCAGGGTGACCGCTGCAACTATTACATTATAGTAAGTAAAAAATAAAATAAAATTACTGCATAATGTTGCATTATTCATTATTTAGTTTACTTTAAATACTATGCTAATGTTCTTTTTTACTTTTCAGAGTGGAAATGCAACTATCCAGCCATTTTTATGTATGGTCATAGGCAGTGTAATGCTTCTAAGACTTCTAAGTAATAAGTTTATTCTTTACACATAGTTAAAAGGTAAACAATATCTTTTGGAGAATAACTATATTCTTTTCTCCCATTATGACCATCCAATTTATGTATAAGTTTCTATTTTTTATAAGGTGACTTTAAGATATTTACACACATTCTTTTCAAAGACTTTTTTTATAACAACTTACTATTATACAAATGATTTTAATAGCTTTTAAGTAATGATATTATGTTCAAAATAAAATTTTAAGACTTAATTTTTAAAATAATGACTAATGTTTTAATTTGATATTTATGATTTAAATATAATATACATACAATAGAATAGGCTGTTATAAATTGATATTACGTAATGAAATACTTCATGTCATTATAAATCACATATACCATTTCGTGATATAATATAATAAATGAAAGAGGATAATCAAAAAACCTTGGTAAGTATTTTTAGTCCATAAAATAATGGTATCTTTATAGATATATTCTTGAAAAGCATAATTGTTACTTTTTAATTACATTATGTACAAATTATAATGTATTTTATGTGTGTTCAATTTGAATATTAATCCGTCCATTTTACATATGTTTTTGTATTATTTAAGATACAGTGACTTAAGTATGTTAATATAGTTATTTCTAAAAACTTCTATTTGTTATTTCTATACCAGTTGTCGCCCGCAACTCCGTCTATGCGGAAATAAAAAATATATATAATAGTAGCCTACTTCTGTGCCAATACCAGTGAATTGCATGCAGCTGTTGTGGGGATACCTTTTAACAAACATCCATCTATCCAACCATCTAAACATCTGCATTTATAATATTACTAAGCTAAACATTTATAACATATAATGCAAAAGTAGAAAGACTACAGTGGCCATCATTCACAAATATTTAAATTACAAGAGAACAGAGTTTACATATCGAAAACCTTCTTGAGATAACAAATTATTTGTATGTGTGTAGGAAATATTTGAATAGTCAGTTACATAGTAAAATTTTGTTTTGCCTACACACTTAGGAATTGCCTGCATCAGGTTATATACGCACTGCAGGCGTTCAAATTAGTCTCACAAAACCCTGTTAACTTGCTCCTCCCTCAAGGCATGGTAAAAAAGAGCGCGCCGTAGAAATTTGAGCCAGGAAGCTAGGAAAGTTCAAACCATTTTACATGTACATTTTAACTGTACAGTTAAAACTGAAGGTGTTTAGCGGGCATTCCACGCATTAGAAATCATTAGGAACTAAATGGCTGGGTTATTTAAAAGTATAAATAAAACTAAACTTCAAACTTTGAAGTTACTTTTATTGCTCATACAAGATATAAAAAAATAAGTTTGTGAACCCAATATCTTTTAATGCAGAATATCTATGAAGAGAGTATTTTGGTTTCAATTTCATTGATTATTACGTACATAATTTAAATAATAAAACATTTATCAAGGCACTATTTTGTAATGTCCAATCTAATGCACTTTACCTAATCTCCTCACAGACTTCTCGCATCAAACCTTATTTTAACTTTATACATAAATCAGTCGGTATCATTATCATAAACACTGGTGGATACACCATTACATTCTTTTCTTAATGGACTTTTATTCAAAATAGATTTCGTTGTTCTATAAAATTATCAAATTGGCATGTAAGGCAAAGTAATTCTTATTTATATGGCAGTTAGTTGTTACCACTAAACCTAATTATTAAAAATGTAAGATATCAAAGATTCACTAAACTATTATGTAACAGAATGAACCTAGGAAAAGTAACAAAATCTCTTTCACCTAGGCCAAAAGGTTTTTAGGAAATACAAAAAAATATAGAAACAATATTGTATGTTTTAAAACTAACAGATCTGAGTTAATCCAGACATACATAAGTGGTGGGATTTGGCATAAATGTTACATATTTAAATCATATAAATAAAAAAGATAATTCATATCTATAAATAAATATGTTGGTTTTTTGTTCTACATCTTTTTACAGATGATTCATTTTTAAAGGTAGATTGCACCATTTTTTATTTTTATATTATTTAAATACAACCAGATTTGTGCTGTTCAAATAAGTTTGCACCATATTATTCTAGATCATAAACCAGACCACAATTACGTAACAAAATAATCCATATTTCTTATTGCCCAATACACATAAAGATATTTACTATTATTTAGCAAATAAAAGCATATAAAATTGGTATGACTATGTGTATGCATTGATATGTTTTATATTATAAAAAGTTTATATTAAGTCAAAAAACTTAAGAAAACAGATTTTCTTTGTTCATCATGCTATCTATAGATAAGTTATTCAAAAGTTTTAAGTACTGTACTTGTTTTTTTATAAAACATTATTTGTGAGAATCCTACTGTGCTAATATTCTTAAATAACAAATTTGAGCATAAATTTATTGCAATGTCGTTGTGAAATATTTATTAATAATTAAATTTTGTGTCTTAACAATAATTTTAATTTTAGATACTGGTGAGTAATAATATAGAAAGCACATTAGAATTTCGATTTGTCTTTTTACCACTGGCAATACTTTTAGTGAAGCACTGTACTTTAAATACTTAATAGTATAATCAAGATTCTTCTTATATCACAATGAAATGCCACATCATAATTCATATGACTAAAAATGCAAGAATATTATTAAAATTGTAAAATAACAATTTTAATTATATTTCAAACTAACATTCTAAATAAAATAGATCCACAAAAATTATAACATAAAGGAAACAAAATTAAACTAGTTACATTATTGGTTCAATTACTAAGGGTAAAACAATTAGAAAAAACAATGGAAATATAACAACTACTTAAATTGTTAGGAAAGGAATGGATGTTTCCTAGTTCAAATTTTTATATTAGTAATTTGTATACTAACATCTTGTTGGAAATATTTTTCCCGCTTACTTCTTGTTTCCAAATATTAATAATCTTGTGAGCATGCTGGTGATGCAGGGCACTTGCTTCTGTTGGTGCATGGTCAACATATCCGGAGTATTAGATTCAAAATCAAGAGCCACTTTTTGACATACAAATGTAAGTAAAGTGAGAATATCTCTCTCTGCACCGGAATAACGCAACTCCTCACACAAAGCTTGCATGAACCATGATCCTCGTGTTGTGTTCCTCCAGGAATAGTATCCTGGTACAGTCGAAAATACTATGAGAAAATCAGCATGAATAGGAATCCGATATGAAGCACTAGAAGAGCCATCAGTCTCTGTGCGATTAGTTAGTGTTATGCCACCATCCAGCTTATCACCTTGGCATGCTTGAATAAAGAAAAGTTTAGGTTTGCCAGCAAGGGTTGGACATTTATCTGCAGTGAAATAATACCAAAGATTATCAGGCTTGTAATGTGTATCTTTAGCATACAACATGCCAAGTTCACCGTGTGTTAATACCGCAACTAGCAAGCAATCATGGTCAGAGTGATCCATTTCAGCAGTTTGGCGAATATAATGATTAATATCCTCCGATTTTAAGTTATGCAGCACGGTTACTCGAAATCCTAGATTCTTAAGAACTTTGGACAAATTGTCACTGTCTACATTAGTGCCAGTGCGTGACTTCAAGCTGTGTATATCAAAATGTTCATGGTTGAAAATAATCGCCATACCACGGTACTTATGGTTCATGTTATAATAAGGTGCATTACGATCAACAGGCATTTTTCCATACGGCCGAGCAGCAGATGAATCGTGGCTACCCCATGCGTCGCCTTGGTCGCCATCGCCATCACCGTTAGTTCTTTGTTCTACGTTGCCATTGTTTTGTGGTTCAGACTCCGACATCTTGACCAACAATTCTAAAGAATTAAATCAATATAGAAGGCTATCAATACACTGCGCAATCAGTTATAAATATTGCTAAAATATTATTTTTTTGTTTATTCAATACCAAAACTTCTTTAGAGCTTTCAACATCTACTTCGAAAACGAAAATTAACTCATCAAAGAGTGTATAAAACAACAGATCATCAATCACATGCCGCAAAAGAGTGCAAAGATTATATTATCCCTTGTTCAAATTCCAGTAACCATAACGAATAGTTATTTTGATGGCTTTGTTTAGCTTGCAAATAACTTAAATGTGAAGCATAAGCATCGTTAATTAACTCCTTAATTAATACAATGCATAAATAAACTCTGTCCACCCCACACATCGAAACATGTGGAGGGGTGGATCTATACCCACGATTTCACGATGGCAACTCTAATACGAAGAACTTTTCTTCTCTATAACCAATGACAAATGTCTATGTCTATGTCCAACAAACCAATGTCTGGCGGATGGATATTGGATAGAATTTATGAGGAAGTTTATATTGAATCGAATACCATTTAGTTAACACTGCGAACATATACATGACTTACAAAATGTCGAGCAATGTTAATAATAAATTGAGTCCCAAAATCATTTCAGTTTTCATAGTTTTGGTAAGTAAAAAAGATCAAATTGTTGGTCTCAACCGCTCTAGAAATCGGTACACGTACCTATAATTAGTTGTTGATTTTATGGTTTATTAGGAATAAGTAATTACTCTACTACTACTAACAATGTTATTTTTCAGATTTGCCACAGTTTTTATAACCCAACTGATAGTGGGGCTGTTCAGATTACTCAAAGCAATTTAGATATGGTACTAGGTGAGTTTTTTTAGTTTGCATTTTGTTTAACATTCACACTTTTGCTGCCATTAGCATTAATATTTTGTAAACTTTAAATTACAGCATCTAATGAAGTTGTTTTTATAAACTTTTACGCGGAATGGTGTAAGTTTAGCAACATGCTAATGCCGATTTTCGATGATGCGGCTGATGCGGTGACCAAAGAAGGTTATGATACAGGCAAAGTTGTTATGGGAAAGGTAGACTGCGATAGAGAAGGCCCTGTAGCAACAAGATTTCACATTACAAAGTATCCTACACTAAAACTCTTTCGCAATGGTCTTCCATCCAAGAAGGAATACAGAGGTATGTTTTCTCAATCATATTTGTAAAAATAATTGGAACTGAAAGACTATTAACCTGAATAAAATGCAAAAAAAAAATCTTTCATGGATTAAAAAGCAATTAAATTAATGACATGTATTTAATTAACTTGTGTGGTTGGTTGTATTATTTAAAATTCCATCAAATCCATAAAATGTTAAGTTTTTAATATCCTTAGCTTGTATTTCATGGTCATAATACCAGTTTTATAATTCTTATCAAACTTCAGCAAGTTATGTATAATTACTCAACAAAAGCTTTGTTTATTTCATGAATTATTTAGGATTAATTAGAGGAAATTATAGACAATGTATTAAAACATCATAGAATGAAAGTTTAGAAAGGGAAAAAAGTAATCAGTTAAACATCTATATGTGTAAACAAATGAAGTTTGTTCTGTATGTTCAAACAGAAACAATGTCATTGTTTCTGTGTGTCTTGACATTGACTTTGCATCTGTCCTTGCTTATAACCTTATCACATGTATAATGTAAAAAAACCATTTATAAATGAAATAGATATAGATAATAATGAGAATTGAATGTTAAAATACTTTCTGGTAGTCATAAAAGGCTCATGAAACTTGTTATTTAAAAGATACTTTATATGCATTTTAAAGTGATATGTTTTTTTTAGGTTTCTGTTAAAATGTTTAAAACATTTGCCAACCATTTTTGCCTCTTTTGGGCAATCATTTTAAAATTCAAAATGTGTATATAAACTTTTAATGCTACATCAATAAAAGTAAATCAACTAATTAAATTAATATAAATGTAATATGACAATGAAAATGGTGTAAAAAATTTATACCTTTAATTTCAGGTCAACGCTCAGTTGAAGCATTTACGGAGTTTATTAAGAAACAGCTAACGGATCCCATTATTACTTTTGGCTCTTTGAAAGAGCTTCATGATTTGAGTGAAGAAAAGAGGCATATAATTGCATACATGGACAGAAGGGACCAGCCTGAATATGATGTGATCCGTAGGGTTGCTGCTAATCTTAAAGATGAGTGTGTCTTCCATGCTGGTTTTGGTGATGCTTCACAGCAAATGCATCCACCAGGTACATAAAACATTTAACATATAAAGCAAAAAAGTTTGTTTTAATATAACAACCAACGAAGTAAAAAATAAATAGTTGTAGTATAACCTAGAAATTATAAAGAACTGATCAATATGATTTTTTTACTTTACTTGTTCATCTGTGGGCCTAAATCACAAAAAAAAGGTATTCATGTAGATAATTATTTTATTTCTCTTTGTCATCAGGTCAACCAATTGTTGTATTTAGAGCTGATCGTAAAACTTCAACTGAACCTGATGAGACTTACCATGGTTCGTTGACCAGTTTTGATGACTTATACAATTGGGTGCAAGAAAAGTGCATACCATTAGTCCGTGAAATCACATTTGAGAATGCTGAGGAGCTTACAGAAGATGGATTGCCATTCCTAATACTGTTCCACCATCCCAGTGATGCGGAAAGTGTGAAGAAATATAAGGAAATCATCAGTAGAGAGTTAATGTCTGAAAAACGTAAGTATTTTTTGGTTAAATATATCCTTAATATATAGATAAAATGATTACCAAATAACTAGATATGTATTGCAATGAAATAATTATTAAAATTTTAATGCATCAAATTGTTTATCCAAGAAAGTAGTAATGTTCTTAGTGAAAATAAAAAGAAAAATATAGCAAATTTGCATATCGTAATTTGACGGCAACGGTGTTTGTTTGTTTGTGAAATATTTCTTATCTATGTTTTTGTCAATTATGTTATCTTGCAGTTTTGTCAGTCTTATCGCTTTGTTTATATATCTTCTTTGCCTAATATTATTTGATTAGATTGTGTGTGAAATTTTAACAACTGAATATGAATGTTGGGGATTTATCTCATTTTGGTAATACCCAGTTTCTGAAAGTAATTTTTAAAATACAATTAACAATTTGTTAAGCTACATGTTAACTTTTACAATTTACTATAGCTGTGGCCCGCGACTCTGTCCGCGCGGAATTAAAACAAAACTTAATAAGTAGTCCAAGTGTTACTCCAGACTATGTCCTACATCTGTATCAAAACTTTATCAAAATCTCTTAAGCCGTTCTGGAGATACCTTGTAACAAACACCCATCCATCCATCCATCCATCCATCCATCCATAAATCTTAACTCTCGCAATTATAACATTAGTAGGATAAATTAGCATTTTGTAAAATGTGTTGTTAAACCTACCTGTTTTTATTTCCAGAAAATGTAAACTTCCTCACCGCTGATGGTGTAAGGTTTGAGCATCCATTACACCACTTGGGTAAATCTGTGTCGGACCTGCCACTGATAGCTATCGACTCCTTCCGCCACATGTACTTGTTCCCTAACTACAGTGATATGGAGAAGCCCGGCAAACTGAAGCAATTCCTCCAGGATCTCTACTCTGGAAAACTTCACAGGTCAGTTAATAACAATAACATTAAAAAGTAAACAATTTTTTTTAAATATGTGGCAAAAGTAAATCCAATTATTTGGTGTTAATGATGAATTCTTTTGAAATAAGAATGTGCTACTCATTGAGCTTGATTTGTTAAATATAATTAGGAAAGTACAGATTTTAATAAAAATATATTTACTCATCTATGAACCAGGTAACAAAGAAGTATTATTTTGGACAATAACTGTTATACTGTTCTATACTTTGGGGGCTGTTAGTTCATACGAAGAAATAACCTTAAAAGTGGCCTACAATATTAATTTTGTTTAAAATTATTATTATTGTTGTCGCAGTTGCCTCGTAACATCTGTTTTATGCTAAGAATCAATTTGATACGCTATGAATAGGCAATCAATGGTTTACATGCAAAGTATATGACTATGGAATACTGGCATAATGTAATAAAAATATATATTTTAAAACTTAAGGGGACATTAATAAAGTTATGTGTCAAGTTTGTCAAGTCCAGTGTAACCGACTCTTTAGAGACAATCAGTGGCACATGTCCATGGAAAATCTTACTAATATTATAAATGCGAATATTTGCATGTATGGATGGATGGATATTTGTTATTTGGTACCCCCAGAACAGGTAAATAGATCCTGCTGAAATGTCATATATGTAGAATATTGTCTGGAAGAACACATAGGCTACTTGAAAAGTTTTTTTTATTATGTGCTGGAGTTGCAGTTAATAGCTGTATATACCATATGTAAATTTATTTTCCAGAGAGTTCCACTATGGTCCGGAGACTCCTGAAGTGGTGAGCACAGATATGAAAGTGACCACTCCACCAGAATCCACCTTTAAGAAATTAGCTCCGTCCAAAAACAGATACACATTGCTCAGAGACGAGTTATAAGGCTGTATCAGTCTAGGTTTTGAAATTTAGAATAAGTCAAAGCCAACTAAAGGAGCGCTTTAGTAAAAATATCTCATCTCAATTTCTTTTTTTTCTTTATACCCTTCGATTTGCCTTATATTTGATATGAAATTTGAAATAAGCTTGTGGACATAAATCTTTACTAGCCTATGGATTTTAATGCATTTATTATTTTTGTAACGTAGTTTTGACTTATTTGTGACAGAAATTAGAAAGTTATCGTTTTGAAGATTTAAGCAGTTTATTTATTTTGCAAATTTCGATTATATATTAGTTATGTACAGATGAAATGTTATGTGTATGAAGTAGAAATCAAGATATGCTAGTAATTCAAAAACCTAACTGAGAGGTTGATATTTTATTACAGTGTCATGTATTAAATATAAACAAATAAATGTAAAAGTAATTTAAGTGTTTGATATTAATGGATTGTAATTTTTTTTCCCTATTTTTAGGGTATTTTCAATAATATTTATGGCTTATTCTGATATGTGATTATAGCTGAGATATAATGGAGTAAGTTTTATATAAAAATTCGCTTTTTTTTTTAAAACATTTAGTACACAACCACACTTTCATCAGAATCTGTGCATTGGTTATGGTATAGGAGAAACATTCAATTTTTTTTTAAATTTAGGTCTTTATCAATCAAATTAAAAATATATGAATATCATTCTTACCTTATTATAAAAGTTCGAGTTTTTTTTTTGAGCCTTAATTATGCTTTTTTTCTTGTTTTTTTTTGCAATTACTTTTTTTTTATTAATATGCCGTATTGTAAACAAATTACCAACAAAACAGACTAATCTAGTTTTGTACAGTAAAAAATATTAGCAGATTTATTTTGAAACGTATAAAAATTATCACGTCAAAGTTAAATGCAAATTTCTAGTGGGCTAAGAACATAAGGGTGAGCCAATATTATTTGGCACAGATTATATAGTTTTTTCTTTAAAAAAGTATGAATACAATGTTTTTTTTTCTTATCCGTATTTTTATGTAGATAATATCCATAATATACATGAGACGTGACGTCACACCGCAATGGTTGTTTAGGGTGCAAAAACATAACATAGCCATCAGTGGGAGACGCATTTCTCGTGGGTCGTATGTTATTTCGCACGTGTATTATTTGTAAATCAAATCTCAAACCAAAATCAAATCTAAATCATACAAATTCGTTATCTATTTTGATTAATTGGTTTATCATGTTAACATTTTCCACTGTGTTTTTATTTAGATTATAGGATTTATTTAGTTTTTTTTTTTCAAAATTTCATTTATACTGTTATAAAGAGGAAAGATTGGATTGAGTGTCTGTTTACACTGATCAGGCTCTGATACTTCTACACCGATAGGAAAAATTCTGTCACCGTAGATATTTTTCAATTCCTTGCACACGAAGTTTTTTTTTTATATCATAAGGTGGCAAACGAGCGAGCGGCCACCTGAAATCGCTGAAATAGCGAAGGGACCGTTGCCCATAGACATACTCAATTGCATATGCGTTACCTACCTTTAATCGACGGAGGAAAGGATGCACAGAAAAAAAAATATTTTCCCCTTCCATGCCTCCTCTCATCCGGAAAGTCCACTTCCACTTCCCATCCTTTGAGAAAAAGGGTGGGAAGGAAAAGAGGACTAAATTAGGCCTCCGGGACGCACACTCATCAGACGAAACACGGAATTGCTTCCTCTTCACGCCTGTCTTCTGTGTGGTCGTGGTATTTCACCGGGCGAGCCGAGCCAATTCGTGCGAAGATGTTAAAGCGGGCTCTACCACTGTTAAAAAAGTCGAAGTGAAGTCGTTAGCATCTGCTAATTTTAAATAATATCAATGTAGTTTTGAAGGAATTTAAATTTTGCGATGAATTTATGATTTTTTGTAAGGTTGCCGAATATTAGAGTCTAGAATTATAAATAATTATTCTTATTAAAGTATTTATTTAACACCAGAAGTTTAGTCAAGTCGTTTATTCTATTATTTAGTCGAAATTAATGTTTATAATTACATTCGAAACGATTTAATATAGTTTTTTTTATGGCAAATTTGCATTATCGCTAATTAATTAACATCGTGTTGTAATATAAATTATTTTAAATCTCGGATTTGAAATTTTACTACACAATGCAAATTCATAATGTCTATATTACTTATTCAATTTTTTTTTCTCAATAATGCTTTCTTGTATTCAGTCATTCATTAATACAAAAACTTGCTTTTAATCTAATAGATTTTTTTTTATCTTCATCGACAAAATTATATACCAAATTATACAAAATTTGACTACATCTGAATGTACTTATTACATTTAAATACAGGCAATATTTTGTTAGGATTAATTAAATCTGTTTGGTATATAATATAGTGTGTTGCTGTTTATTGTGATTATATATTACAGCTTTATTTTATTTTATATACGTAAAATAACTTTTCATGAATTGCACAATGCATATTTTATACAACTTCTTGGGATACCTTGAAACTTTTTCTAAACAATCTGCCTAGTATTTTATAGCTCATTTTTTCTTGTGGGCTTTATTTAGTTACGTTTCTAGAGAATAAATATAAAAAATAACACGTTATTTTTCTTTACAATTATTGCAACTGCAATTTGATTATTGTTTTGTAATTTAGTTTTTCTGGTTATCGTTGAATTAATGTATATTTCGTCTGAATTTTCTAACATAATCACAAACACCCTTTATCTTTACTTATTATTATCTATATTTGTATGAATGTAAAATGTACAAAATGTGTATGTTATTGAGACGTGTGCGTAATAAATTTTTGAACTTTGAATTTATGTTTTTTTTTATTTCAACACACAATTTTTTTAAATAAATTATTCGGGGCCAGTAATTAAAATGATCGTCGACGTTTTGATCATTTTATATACTCTTTGGTTATGATATCTAGTTTCGTTTATAACTAATGGAACTTCTAACTATAATTTTAAAAGTTTTTAGCGATATAATTAAATAACAAACATTAAAATGTTTCAATATAAGGCAAAAAAAAAACGCAAAACAACAAAATAGATACGCGAACTTACGACATGAGCACATGTTGACAAAAAAAATGTAACATTTCAAAGCATCGTCGAGTCCGATTTGCGGAGTGTCAAATGCGGCATTAACTGTCTCGGATATCTTTGCCAAAAAGATATGTTGTGTTAAACAAACTGCGTCCGAGATGCCGATTTTAGTTATGAAGGGCAATTTCGGCTGTCAGTGTTTAGAAAGAAGTATGTTTGAAGACCGCCGCCTCACTGCAGGGCGCCAGCGCTACGCGGAATTTTCTTACCTACTTTGTAACCGTATTGATATTCCTGTGAAGTTTTGTAAAAGTAAACTTTGACATGATTATTGTTTCATTTCGTATGATTAACTAATTATTAAATAAATAAGTTTTTGATAATATCTGTCAATTATATTTGAAGATAATTTTATTATATTTTATAGATTTAAAATTCCTGTAAACATTATACAACTGCCACTTTAAATGTAAAAAAGTATCTTTTTATTCAGCTTCTCGTTACTAATTGGCTAAAACCTATTCATTGAGAAACATCTTCAAACTTTTATAAGTTCGCACGATGTCAGTCAGTTTTTTAGTGATCCGTTAAAATCATATTATATTTTTTCACAAAATTTTAACACTAACGTTAGTTTACAAAAGGCTTACAAAAGCTATTCTTTGGAGTGCGAACCTGTGCGTGGCGTATTGTTATAAACAGGTACTTGGGGATATCTTGTTACATTATGACAATGACGATGCACCAATGTTCACTCCTTGCCTTCCACTTGCACAAAATTGTGCGGAATTCCGATCAGATAACATTCGCGTCCGCTTCTTAACAAAGCTTTTACAGATACATGCGAGCTTTTTAACGTATCCTTCCTTTTTTGAAACACATAATATTACAATGTAAAGATCATTTTTCGTCAAATGTACTTTGTGAACGTCATTTTATGGAAATCATCAAATAAAAGTTTATGTTCCTTTTCTTGATTGATTTTGGGCCTTAGAGACACCATTAAATCTAGTCCTTTATAAGCATGGCTTTATAAACCGTACCCGACTATTTTTGTTTTTTTCTCATAACAACCATATTAACAAATAAAAAGAAAACTAAATACAAGTCACCGAAATTACACAATATCAAAAGTAACCTACAGAAATAGTGTCCATTTTTATTTCATATATTAATCTTTTATCTTAAACGTCTTTATCATGGTACTTTTTAAATATCAATTGCATAGATCGGAGTTGCATTCATTTCGCTTACATCTAACCGTGGGTGCCGCGGCCGCTCTATAATGGTTGCAACTTGACACCAACGCCGGTATTTTGTACAAGTCTCAATAAAGCGAATTGAGCTGAATGAGTCGGAACGCCAAAAGACAGGAAGTGAAGGACAACAACGCTCGATCGAACCAATTACCCGCCCACGACACACGAAACCAGTAATTAGTGTAAAATATCCGACTACTGAGCGGAAGTGTGCTGCTGCATGGACAACTGAAAAAGATTTTATAGTAAAGATGTGGGCGAACGTTATAGTCTAGTTTTATTTTTTGCAAGAAAAATCGTATTAAAAATTTTTTTTGAAGCTGCATCCTGTAAGATACGATTAAACTTAATACTGATGGCTGAAATTGTTTTTAATTACATTCACAAATACGAAACGTGACAAATGAAAACTTGGAACTTTTTAATGTTACAGATCTGGTTGTCTGTAACAATGTCTCAGCGGTCAATGTCTCAAATTAGATTCGAAACTAAGAAATTAAAAAAAAATCTCACAGCATTCAGCAATAAAATTTCATTTGCATTAAAAATATTTCTCAGCAAAAGTTCTCCAATACATAAAAGCAAAAAAGAACAAATACACTTAATAAATTTATTAAAAAAAGGTTTTATGACTTGTAATACAGAAGCTCTATGATTGTCCTTCGTTTTCACTGTCAATGCGATGGTTTGTCGAAGTTTTTTTTTCTGGCATAAAGACACTGGCTGGCATGTTAGATTTATGGCGTGAGGCGAACGATCATA